CATCCGCACGCCACTTCTGGCGCAAATCCTACGCAAGGTTTTATAAATGAGGCCCCAGGACTCTTCCTAGAGTCGGCCGCCCAGCCAGACTGAGCAATCGGGGGAGAAGGGCCTTAGTCAGGGAGGTGACCAGGAACCCGATGGTCACTCTGACAGAGCTCCAGCGTTGTTCTATGAAGAGAGGAGAACCTTCCAGAAGGACAACCATCTCTGCAGCACTCCACAAATCAGGCCTGTTTGGTAGAGTGGCCAGACGGAAGCCACTCCTCAGTAAAAAGCACATGACAGCCCACCTGAAGGACTCTCAGACCATGAGAAACAAAATTCTCTGGTCTGATGAAACAAAGATTGAACTCTTTGGCCTGAATGCCAAGCGTCATGTCTGGAGGAAACCAGGCACTGCTCATCACCTGGCCAATACCATCCCTACAGTGAAGCATGGTGGTGGCAGCATCATGCTGTGGGGATGTTTTTCAGCGGGAGGAACTGGGAGAGTAGTCAGGATTAAGGGAAAGATGAATGCAGCAATGTACAGAGACATCCTCGATGAAAACGTGCTCCAAAGCGCTCTGGACCTCAGACTGGGGCGACGGTTCATCATCATCTGTGAATGTCCTTGAGTGGCCCAGCCAGAGCCCTGACTTGAGAGATCTGAAAATGGCTGTGCACCGACGCTCCCCATCCAACCTGATGGAACATGAGAGGTTCTGCAAAGAAGAATTGGAGAAACTGCCCAGAAATCAGTGTGCCATGCTTGTTCTTGTACCCAAGAAGACTTGAGGCTGTAATTGCTGCCAAAGGTGCTTCAACAAAGTATTGAGCAAAGGCTGTGAATACTTATGTACATGTTATGTTTTCGTTCTTTATTTTTAACAGATTTGCAAAAAACAGTTTTCACTTTGTCATTATGGGTTGTTGTGTGTAGAATGTTGAGGAACATAATGAATTTAATCCATTTTGGTATAAGGCTGTAACATAAAAAAATGTGGAAAAAGTGAAGCGCTGTGAAGACTTTCCGGATGCACTGTACTTGTATCTCACAATGGACAACTTTATTATAAATGTAAAATATAAAACTTTAGTTTGGATCATTACGTTCATCCAGCGTTTCTCTTCTTTAAACAAAGCTGACCTAAACAATCCAGCTGCAACAACTTTGTCGTGGTGGCTGCTACATAAGAGGGAGATGAGAGGTGTGTGTTTCCGCCACTGTGCATGAAGAGTTAGTCAGACTGACTGGAGACCTCCTCATAAGGTGTTAATTGGACTGGTTAACTGCGCTGTTCATCACCGCCCTTGTTGCTGTGAGCTCCTGTGTGTCGGTGTGTGTGAAGATGTGAAGGCAAGACCGGTTGACTGTATGCACTGGTAAGATGTGGATGGGTATTTGATAAATAAAAAGCCAAAAAGGGGTGTGGGGGGGTTGAAATTGGAAACTGGGGAGAGCCGGATTTCTCTTGAGGGAGAAGGGAATAAAAAGCCTACACATGCGATGAGAAGTTATTTAATTTGTGATTGACAAGACACTCTCTAATCAGCTGTCATTGGATCAGATGTATGTCGATTTGCCCCTGCATCATCTATGACCTTTTTGAAAGTGAAGGCCCGTGCTACAGCGAGCTGTCATGTTGAATAGAGCCAGAGATGACGGCAGCGTAACAGGAATCGAGTTACAAACCTGATTCCACTTGTCTCAATTTATTAGCCACAAATTAGTTTTCTGTTAAAAGAGGCCACAAAGGAATACAGCTATTCTAGCCAGAAACAATAATAAAAAATCAAATCAAATGAATTAAACATTTTGATTTCTTTTCATACAGATCGGGCTCCCTGAACTGGGCTTTGAGCAAAAATAAAAAAACGTCTTTCCCATTTTCAGTGATCTGGAACGGCTGCAGTGGTTGCTATTAGGGCTGTTATATCAAAAGAAATTAACTAATTAATCTAGCATTTTGAAATTCATTAATCGCGATTAATCGATTTTCTTAAGGCTAAATCTAAATCGTATTTTTCCAAACACAAAACTACCGACGTGTGATCTCGGGGGCAGAATTCCACCTGGTGAAACATGTTGAACAAGTGACTCTACCTGTTGTCCTCGTGCACTTTGCTCTCAACCCTCCATCATTTGACGGCTGTGTCTGAAGTGCCAACAATCTCCCCACATTTAGCCAGGACGTTTGCAAACCACTGTCTTAAAGCGTGTAAAGTAGAGGTCGTCAACAGGGGATCCGCGACTCCCAGAGGGTCGACAGAGGTACTGCAGGGGGGTTGCGACATTTTTGGTTTAAATACACATTAACATGAATCCAACATATTGTAGTGAACGAACAAATTGATGGAGAAGACGTTATCTTTCAGTCCGCAATACACATTCAGCTTCCCACAGGAGCTCTCTAAAGCTGGGCACCGGTTCATTCACAGCTCCTTTCATGCAAATACGACAGCACAGGCACCAGCCAATCAGATCGCGTTTATGCTCACGTCTAAAGCGCGCGAAGCTCAAGAATTAAATATGGCGGACCAAACCCCGTAGAATAGGTGGTCCTGTTCCATCTCGCCATCAGTTTGGGGGACCTTGGCCTGAAAAACGTTGAAGACCCGTGGGGAATATTGCACAAAAGTAGAATAAAGAAATCCAGGATAACTGACTTAATGTGATCCGCTCGCCGCAGCTTAATCGGTTGCACGTTTTCTGAGCCAGGATGAGAAGGGGGAGCTAAGTCAATCCAGCTGTACATAGCTGGGATAAAGTGCACGTTCACAGCTTTCTTAAGTAGACCACATTATCGATCACAGATTTACTGATGCAGGAATGGAGAAGACGCCGCACGCTGCAACTAATTCTGGAAACTTATGAGGAGGTAAAGCCTATAATATGCAAAAAAAGGAAAAACGGCAGCTCTAATTAAACAGAGAAAAAGCCTGGCAGACAATCACAAAACAACTGAATGCGGAAGGATTTAAGGATTTAAGATCTACTTACACAAATGTATTTCTACAATGAATGTTCATACAGAACAAACAAGACGGGAAAAGATCGCGGTAACAGGTCAAGATAGAATATAAAAACATTTTGCAAGCTGGTAAGTTTGCATTTGGTGTAGAAATGACTTACCTGCCTGCTCACATTATTTTATCTAAACTAATTTTAGCAGTTACGAAGAAGGCTCATTTGTCTGGCAGGGGGAAACCAGAACCAGTACTTCATCCCAGCTGAGGAATTGGCCCTTGTTTTAAACCAAGGCCTGTGATAGAAGGGATTCAGGGTGGGACAGCTACTGACTCAGAAACTGCCCTTTTCACACATGGTACATTTTCCAATACTGCACATCAAACACAATCACCCATTTGTACGGGCATATGTGGAAAGCCTCTTTGATGTAACAGATTCTGCGGTGGCCAGGGAAGGTGTGCCAAGGACTTCAGTGCCAAACACACACTTCTGACAGTACGGCAAATAGTGCCTTTTATTAATAGATTCTCTACCAATTATCTTCAAGACCGGTCCGCGAAATATTGTTTCGTATGAAACCGGTCCGTGAGGCAAAAAAGGTTGGCGACGGCTGCCCTAAACAGTCCAGCAGCTCTAACAGATGTGAATACATTGATTTTTGCCGAGACCAATCCCCACTGCCTCAGAGATCTCACTCACAGGTTCTGGACGGCAAGGAGATTCTCTGAATTTAATCTCATGCTGTTCCCTCACAGTAATCTCCACTGTATATCCCTGACCCCCACCCTTTGCCCCCTCTGTCTCGATTACTACCCAACCTTCATCGTTTTCTGTGTCCATCTGCCAGACGCCCCTCTCGCTGTCTCTCGTCATGACGGGAGAAAAACAGCCAGCGGGACTTAAGCAGAACACAATGCAAGAGGGAGGATTTCCCTTATGAAAGTGTCACTGACTTTTTTAATATGCTATGGAATTGGTGGTTATGTGAAACCCTGCGTGGGGTAAAACCCAGTTGTTTGATTAACAGCTGGTCAGGTCGACCATAGTAGCAACTGATGATTTACTTACATTGTGTTGTGGTGTGTGTGTGTGCAAGATTTATATTTGCAAACTAAAACACAACGAGTACAAATGGACTCGGTAGCCCCTTATTACGCCCCTTACTAACGCTGGCACTTTGTAGTTCAGTCAAACTATTTAAAGTAATGTGGAGTTCTGAACCTCTGATCAAGGAACTATACTGTTACCCCCTTCTGAGATGAGAAGTTATAAAGAGTCCACTGGCTCGAGTTTAAAATTATAAATAATTTAATAACTAACAAATAATAAGCAATAGAGTTACAGAGTGAAATAAAGTATGCATAGTATATTATTATTTCGTGCAATAGAGTCCCCTCGTCCAAGTCTCACATGACCATCAGTATTGGTTCACAGGAGGCACAGGGGGGGCGTGTCGCTTCTGCTGTTGTCGTATGTGATTGGCTGCACATCCGAGCTCAGCTCCTCCCTCGTGAATTCCTTTCTGCTCCAAGGCATCACATGACTCCCTCCTGGCTCCATCTGATGGTCGACTCTGAAATCCCTCACTGACCTGACGGATTCCTGTTCACTTAATACTACAGTACATTCAATGATCACACCTTTGGCTTAAAGCTTCATCATGTAAACATAACATAACATGCATAATAACATTTCATCACCATTGTGTTTAACTCAGTTCTACATGGTACAAGTTTGCCTCGCAGGGCTGTCTTACACCATTTGCTCATTCACTACCTGATGGGAAAGAAAACTCCCAAAAAACCCTCTTTGGGGATAAAATTGGGAGAAATCCATAAAGGACGGCAATTAGCATCCGTCCCCAGGTTTCAACATTACATCGTGATAGAATGTTAATGTCTGCAGTGTTTACATGACTTAAATGATGATAAATAGTGTTTGATTCGTATTGCATTCACTTCATCTAACATGCTAATGTAATATAAAAAGTATGTAATGAAATATACTGTGTTGTACCAACAAGTCGTTCTCACCGACAAATGGCAATCAGAGGACGCATAGAGGCCCCATTCCAATCCAACCTAACTGACGTCACCTGGTAAGTGGTTGAGTGCAAATGTCTGACTGCTTTAAATGGTCTTAATATGAATGGGACAGCACTTTGCTGCAACAGGTCACGTCACCATGGCAAAATATGTGATTTACAATTGTGGTAATTGGGTATTTATTTCATAATTTGACTCAACGTCTTTCAGGCTCTTTCTTCAAAAAACTAGAGGCATTTTTCGTAAAAAATATCAACATCTCATTAATAGATGAATACATATTGTTGATGCTGATTTCATGTTTTTTTGCGGTATTCATTTTATCATGACATACACACGTATGCGGTCCTCCTAGTTTACCTTTTTTTTTTTACTCCATGATTTCACTGTTACGTCCCTCGACTGATGTCTAGGACAGCTGGGGAGTAACAAATGAATAAACTATAAAAGAAGGACTTCGTCACCACAAGAGGGGTTTATTTCACAATAAATCAAAAAAACATCCATATCATGTTTAACTCAACATTGTACTGTCCAACAGTAGAAGAATGCCATCACAAATAACTACCAGCACATCGGCAATCACACCCCTCCCCACTTTTGTGTAAAAAAGTGCTTCTTTTTCCTCTCAGAATTTAACACACCAAAAGGATTTTCCATTTTTTCAAAACACTAATCAATTTTGCTCTCAATCTCACTTTTCATAGGCTCTGGTAAAGACAGACACTTCTTCACAGATTTGTTTGCCGGGTTATGGATATCATCAATAATCTCCCATTGAAATGACCAAAGAGTTAATGGTGGTTTCTTGTACGCCTGCCACTTTAAGTTCGGCTACTGTTGCAGCACAGCTGTCTACGAGACTCCTTTTTAGGACTGAATCAGAAAGTGAACTTTTTGCTGCCAATTCATCAAAATGACTTGCGGCTAAATGATCAGATGTAGATGGGCCTTCACCAGGATGAGAACACTGTTCATGTGCTTTTATTAAGATGCTTTCGAAACCCAGAAAAAGTGCCATAAACTTCTGAACAACCAGCCCAACCACATTTAAGACGACGGGTCTTTCCTGAACAAAGTCTGTGTATCAACTTCAAGTGTTTTGTTAGGGAATTAGCATTTGCATGGAGACTTTTGCAAAAAAAAACACAACTTCTTAATTTCAACTCAATGAAGCCTCAAGGCTTTTGAGACCAACCAGCTTTGTATCAATGTAATGAAGCATCCGAGCTCTCAACTCTGCAACTCTTGGATTCACCTTCGTGGTATCATCATCCATTTCATAAATTGTGGTTTGCAAGAAGTTGTACACGTTTACCAGATCCTGGTTGTACGACGTACCAAAGACAAAATGAGCTTTGAAAAGCTCATCAAAACTGGAAAGTGTGTCTGCTGACTTACACGGTATTACATGTTTGTCAATCACAATGTAGTACTTGTGAATCAGACTCTTCTGGGTCCCCACATCTAGCAGGTAGGGTTGAAGACTTTTAGTGATGCTGTCCAGATGCTCCTGGATGCTCGTCCCGGTCTGTGACGAAAAAAGAATGAATTGGTCAGATATAAAATTAGACAGTTAGCAAACGGTTTAGAGAAATCTTTGAATATTTGACAATAATCTTAAAGGTTTTGAAAAGGGATCAGAAGAGTGATGTTTTTCCAGTTTAATTGAACTGTAACCTCACCATAACAAATTTCACGAGATGGTTACTGGCTTGTCTGGCTGAAAGTTTTCCTGGTCTCTTGCGGCCATTTGGTGATGAAGGTAGAAGGTGGACAAGAACCAAAACAGATGACGTGTCACTGTCCCAGCCTGAAAGTAAAAATTCATGGAGAAATATTCAAGCTATTAAGCTAAAAGTCAATCCATTTTCCCTTTTAAAATAAATCCTCCCTCCGTAAATCTTACCCTTTACTTTTCAGCATACCTTCCACTTCCGTTGAGCATTGAGCATTTTGAAGCAGTTCTTGAAGGTCGGCTGTCTGTGTGAGGCCACAGCTTTGTTCCAGGACTTTCTGCTTGTAGACAGTAGGCCACCTCTCCAGCAACTTTGTAGCAGCATTACCAAACATCAGACCAAAATCCTGGTCCATCGGATAAAATCGTTGGTTAGCACCATGGCCATGGCAGATTTTATAACCTCAAAATAGACCAAAAGTAATCTTGTGAAAGAATATCAAGGAAGTTAGCTTATGTATGGTACATACATGGTATTTTGAGAGGCTTTCATTTTGGAACGGAATCAGAATGTCCTGATTATCACTGAGTGACACCTCGAGGTGGTATACTATCAACCTGAAATTGAATTGATTGATACCCTTCTCCTTGCAAATTAATCAGATTCCTCTCAAATTATGTCAGAAAAGACCTAAGACCTTAGTAATGTTAAAGATGAAGTTTGCAAAGCGAAATTCCTTGCGCTGTTGCTTGCGCCGCGGTTAACGATGTTAACCGATCTCGGACTCTTTGTTAACTGGCTGTTTTTCTCCAATATGACGAGAGACAGCGAGAGGGACGGCTAGCAGATGAATGTTAGCCGTTAGTATAGTATATATACAGTACATTTTCCCATCCCAGTCTGAGGGTCCCAGGACAGAGAATGTTGTACTAGGGCTGTCAATAGATTAAAAAACATTAAATAATTAATCGCACATTTTGAAATTCATTAATTGTTGGTAAAAGTGTGTTCTCCTTCTAAAGACTAAATCTTACAAGCACGGAGTAATCAATAGAAAGTGTGTATTTGAGACGCTGTGTTTGCCAACAATCTCCTGACATTTAGCCAGGACGTTTTCCACAGTGATGGTCTTCTTTAAACAGTGTGAGGAGCAGCGTAGATTTTGAGACTGAAGTGGCCTGGCAGCTATTTTAGCCTAGCAGTAGGTAAATTTGCCACCTTCTGTTTGACATGTGGCGTAATTCCCCTGCACAGTTCTCCGCTGAATGTTGCGCCATTGTTTTACTTCCAATGCAAAAAGCTCTCTCAATGTTCAATACCATCTTGCCCTCTCCAATGTCAACTTTGTTGTTTACTTTGCACACCAGAGGATTGGAAGGAAACAAAGTTATGTTAACTGCGTTAAAATATTGTATTGCCTTAATCTCGGCCGCAGTAATCCCATAGATTAAGACATTATTTCTGAAATCGTTAATTTGAACGAATAGTGATTTGTGATTTCGAATTGAATTAGGCTACTGTGAGAAAGCCAAATTGCATATGGTACAAAAACATAATCAAACAGACTTGACACTGGACAACATCAACATACATATGCAATCATCATTTTACTGTTCAAAGGGATGGCAAGGTTTTACCAAATGATGTGTCATTATCCTGTCGTAGATACTCATTACCATGGTGACCGCTGTTTGCCAATTTGCCAATTACTGAAGTATATTCATCCACCTATTGGCTGCACCAAATGTTTCGGTCGGTTTATTCAGGACCCAGATGCAGGCATAGAGACGGCAGGATAAGTGGGGAAAAAAACATTTATTTTTGTAGGGAAATTTATCCAGTCTAGTCTGCAGTGGCGAGGCGCTGGTTGGGCAGAGATGTTGCCTGAAGATCCACTGGTTTGGAAGGAAAAAAAACACATTGTACCAATAAACTGATTTTCGCGCTCGAAGGAGCCGAGAGTATATCGACCACTCTGGTGGAGAAACGATGTGGGGATGAGACCCCTGGAAAGCAGGGTATTTCATCTGGAGATGACGAGGGTCTAATGATCGACATGTGAGGGGCCGTGACACCAAAGCTGATTCTGTCATCACATTTTGGTCATAAGCAGCACTTTCAAGTCCTTTTAACTTGGAGTTAAATGCTGGATAGGTCACCACTAACTGCAGGTTGATAACCTTATCATAATCTGGCTTTTTTAGTCACTGGCCAGTGACCAAGCCAAAATGCTTGATGTGTCTGTATATGTTTGCCTGCATGTAAATTTGTGGCTTTGCGCATGAATGTGTATTTAGTGTGCATGACTTTGGCACCATATTTGGAGTGTGGCTTCCAGCATAGGTGTGTGTGATTGTGCTTGTGTGTGTGTGTGTGGGATTTGGCTGAGTCACGATGGTTCTGGCAGGGTCGAAGGCCGCTGGGCTGCAATGGGTTGAGATTGGAAGAAGCGGAGGAGCGTACGTGGGAACCCTCTCCTGTTCTCCCATCTGTTCTTCTCCGTGGAGATGCAAGAGGTGATGGTGTGTGTGTGTGTGTGTGTGTGTGTGCAGGACACAGGCGTGTACAGAGGTATTTAGGACTACAGAAAACAGCTCATAACTTCCACTGTCATGCAAGAGGTTACATTACCCATATATGCATGCACAAAAAAAAGTATATATTTAGATTTTTTTTATGTATAAAAATGAAAAATCTTTGAATTTATTTTTTTATTTTTCTGAAAAATCTCCTTTTAACACACAAACCACCTATTTCTTCGCACACACACATGCACACACACCCACAACAGACCACTGAGTTACAGATGGTAGAGTGATGGGGTGAGGACATCCTGAGGTTTGTGCCTGAGCTTCCTGTGGGTAACATCTCTAGAGCCAAATCTTCCTCCTCACCTCCTCCTCCGGTACTCCTCCCCCCCTGACACTCGTTCATCACTTGCAGGAAACAATTTCTTCTACATAGCCCTTAGGATGCAGGTGGTGCACCCTTGGCCGAAGGTCTGACCTCTTCATGACTCCTTTATACTAGTTTGAATATGATGCTGGGATTGACTTTCTAAGTCAGTCTTTATCTACAGTATGAATATAATACTTACTATTTTTTTATAGCCCAAAATAACAAATGACTAATTTGCCGCAGAAGGATTTACAGTCTGTACACATGCAACATCCTCTGTCCTGAGTGTCACAGTTTGGGTTCATGTCCTGTTTTATTTTGTAGTTTCTTGCCTCTCGTGTCCCTGGGTAACTTCACTTCCTGCCTTGTCCTGTCTTCCCCTGTGATTGTCTGTCGTGTAATGATTGTTTCCACCTGTGTCCAATGACCTGCACCTCCCTTGTGTATTTAAGCCATGTGTGTCACTTCTTGCGTCATTGTTGAATGTTTTGGATGTTCCTGGTTCCCGTCTGCGTTTTTGCCCCTTGGCCTTTTTGCGTTTTCCATTAAAGTCTTATTTTGTTTGAAACTCTGCGTTTGAGTCCTGCCTGCCCCGCATCCGTGACACTGAGACCCTTCAACTTCAACTGGGAGAAGACTTCAGGGGAAAGGCAGCAGATCCCTCTATCAGGATGGACACAGTGTGATAGATGTCATGTGTACAGCATGAACAACGTAAATGATGTTCAATACATTCAATGCATACAACGAAAATAATTCAAATATTGAGAGTAGTTAGCCAGGTGTAAGGGCAGGACCACTTTAGGAACCACCAGTAATAACCACTATCAGACGTAACCACCATCAGATGTAACCACTATCAGACGTAACCACCATACGATGTAACCAACATCAGATGTAACCACCATTAGACGTAACCAACATCAGACGTAACCACCATCAGACGTAACCACCATCAGACGTAACCACCATCATCTGTGTTTCTACCTCATTAATGCTTAACCTAAAAGTATTTCATATTTATGACACAGGGATCAATAAGGTTACAGTTAAATGGGTGACGTCATTAGTGATTAACATAGTATTTAAAATATATGATACCGGGATCATTGATGCCCCAGTTGTGAACACTTACATTGTCATACAATTAAATAAATAGAAACATTTTCTGTGATTCCCCAAGGTAGTATTTATCATATTATCTGCTCTGACATTTTGAGTGTTTTCGGCGAGTTAAACCATTTACTCATTGCCGTTCGGTATTTCCTTCCAGTGTTTTCCTGGTGGTTTATAACTTTACCTGTTCTTGACTCTAGGATTAAGCCTGCCCCCTGTTGAATTTGTTTGTCTCTATTTTTCGGACCTTCCGTGTATGACTTCCTCACGCAGAATGAAAGCCCTCGCTTGCACCTTGGCCCGTCTTCTGTGTTTTCCTCTGCTCATGAGTTTCTGTTTCAACCCAGAAACATCACACAGTGGCTGGAAGGCATAGATGCAGTCAGCTGTTAGCCAACACGTTGTCCACAACATAAAAGTAGGCAAACCGTTTTCTCATAGTGAGTCTGGGATGCGGCAGGGAGTCGGCCATGCACTCAGCTGTGTTATCACTAGGGGGCCGTGCCGGCCGTGGGCCAGTTAATAGAGTTGTGATTGAGGAGTCAACAATGGGAGTATAAAATAGGTAATAAAAGGTATTTGAGTGTTTTCTATTAAATTCTTAGATTATGCCAATGTTAATTATTTTTGTCTTTTAAATTTATGCTAGGCAGCTACAGTATAGTAAGAAAAAAACATTTATTATGCCACATGCAAACACAGAAAAAAATTGAAACTAAAAGTAACCACACAATCCCTTTTACTTCCCCCCCCCTCACTAAATACGTGCATCACTTCCTCTTGGACTAACACTCAGGGCCTCATGTCCGTACATTTGCAAACGTAGCGTCATCAGCGCCAAGGAAATTCAGTGATAACAAAGTTGATGTGTTATTTGGACATTAGCAGTTGGAAATTGTATGTATGGTAAGTAGTGCGCTGTAGCAAAGCGTGAAATACTTGTGCTGTGATACGGCTGAGTACAGACTGCGATATTTCCACTGCTGATGCTTTGACTGTTTGATAATCCTGATGCCAATAATTAATGTAATGTAGCAAGGAGTTTAACAAATGCTGGAATGGACTGTGAACACTGAGTAGGAGAAGCAACGTCATCTGATTTCTTCTGGTAACTGTTAAATTGCATGACTGCTGAGAATTTTTGTTGCAAAACACAGGCAATCTTCCACCGGCGGTTTCTTAATACACTTAATACACTACATAATACACTTTTCCCTGGACCCTCCCGTCAATGCATATGCATGACACAAAAAGCAAAATTTGCATTTTTCAGTTTCCGCGACAGGCAGTCTGCACTTTCACCTCAGTGCGGCTTGTTTGTACAAACCTCACAACGCTTTTACGCACACGTTGCAGAACAAATACGCCTGAAGTGGGCGCAAAAAGCGTTAGTACATGTGGCCCTGAATGTTGGTACCGGATGTTTTCTTTGAGGTTCAGAGTCTTCCATCATAGATTTACTTCATAGAATACAAGGTTTACTAAAGACCACCACTGCTGAAGTAAAGCAGCTGTTGTGATAGTATTAATACTATTTAAAAATTCATACAATGGAAGATAATACATAACAAACAACAACAAAAAATTGGAGGATGATAAGATAACTAAAAGAGGCTTCTTCTATCAACATCTACATTGGTTGATATATACATAGTATTACAAGAAATACACATGCATGAATACGACTATAACAAGATGGAATGAGAGAACACATGTTGCCTGAAGAAATTCACCTCCATACCCCCCTTGCACACACACATACTGTCTATACCTTCCTGCTCGTAATGCCTCCTACCCTGAGTCTCTCGAAACAGGTGACATCCTGTGTTGTCTGTGGTTTGAAATAATCTCATACAACAGATGGGTCCTTTCCCCCGAGCCTGCCAGCCAGGCCCGCATTGCACCGCGGGCACTGGTGGCAACGAAAATACGAAGGCTACCCACCCCAGACGAGATTGGTCCAACTCTCATCGCGGTGCCCACCAAGACAACCCACTACTGCACACGCCACTCCAACAGAACGGGTTTCTCTCCGTATATACTGGTGGGCTTTTAATTCACTTCCTGTGCTCTTCTGGGCTAACATTTTTTAGTGAAGCTGAAGGAAAAGGGAGGATATGATGTTTGGGGAGCGAGAGCGACATTGTTCAGATTCTTCAAAACAAGCAGTAAACTCTTAGAATCAAGAGTGTCAATGAAGAGCAGCAATGACTGGCGTGATAGTAAACATCTTGTTAGTGGCCGATCTACACGTCGACCTGTGTCTTATTACTTATTACTTATGACTTTGTATGTACAGATATGATGGAAGGTTCCAATATCCACAACAGCCATATTGAGCCTGTGTAACCATGAAGTTTATTCTTGTTTGGCTTTGGACTGAGGTTAGCTCCAGTTTTATTTTCCTTGTGCCAACCAGCTCCTGGATTCATATTTAACAGATGAGAGTGGTATTGATTGTCTCGTCTTGTCTGATAGCAAGAAGGCGTACTTCTCAAATGTTGATCTTTTCATTTTAAATTTAACAGCATTTTGACTTGTAGTTACACCTTTGCCCTTTTGATAAGCCTGAGTTTTCAGTATGATGTATTGACACGTAACTGTGAGACCTCTTGGATATTGCATATGTTTAAGTTTGAAAGGCTACCTCTGTTCACATGGTGTGTGTGTGTGTGTGTGTGTGTACATACAGGTCAAAAAAGCTTACTGCATCCTAAATGAAACTCCTCCTTGTCCTCTTTTCTTTTATGGGTTCACGGAGTCACCCTCTTCTCCAACTTTTATCAAACAATCCTCGGTCCTCCTCTCACCTCTCCTACCTCATTAATAATACCTCTTATTGACAATATTGGGAAATATTGTCTTCCCAATATTTTCTAACTTGCACCATGCTTCCCCACCTCCATCCTCCCCCACTTTGTGTCCTCCGACCGCCCTTCTGTAACAGTTCTTCTGGTGACGGCGTGCAAAGAGGCTGTTCCTTTTGTGCCACGCTGAAAAGGACTCATGGCTTGTGTGTCTTTGAATGAAGTGGGTGGGAGGTCAGAAAGCCTGACATGGGCATCCATCAGCGGCGAGCATGCGGCGTGCCGATCGCTGTCACAGAGATTTCAGTCAAGCTTGTCCACATCAATTATCTGTGATAAATGGGACATAAGCACACACACACACACACACACACACACACACCTCTACTAACCCCAAATACCACCTATTGCAGCTACCCTTCATTGTTGCCAGCCTCTCTCCACAATCTCAGTAACCTCAATACAATATCTTTCAGCAGCAGCTATAATAAGACACAAAAGAAGACTGCATGTTTTGAAGGCCAGCAGAGCATGACACGGAGGAAGAAGCCTTGTTAAAAGCTCCAGCAACTCTGTCTTCTTCTGTGTCTCGCACTAATGGATGGTTAAATTTAGAAATATGGTCAAAGGAGAAGGAAAAAGAAGGAGGAAAATATTTCCGCCTTAGGAACATTCTTTTTCAGTGGAGGATTGTAAAGAGCTTCCCTCAATGTGTTGAAAAGGATTTTAAAAAGCACAACCTGCTCAAAGTGTATTAATCAAGGGCAAAACAAAACTCAATATTTCCCGTTGTCATGTAGGAAAAGAGTAAAAAGCCACAACTTTCATGAAGTAAAACACCTTGCAAGGGTTAATGTTGCAAGACGAAAACATAGACAACTCTGTTGTAAAGACCTGTCAATCAGCGTGTAATCCCGCCCTAAAGCATGCCCTACATTGCGGCCTGTTTGGCTCTAAATAGACCATGAAGGAAAAAATGAGCATCATGTTGTATTGAAGAAGACTTGAAACTAAAGATTGAGACTAAACTCATGTTTAAAATGCCTAATGAATAAATCATTTAGTCATAGACTTCTATTAAAATGAATAGTTGCCCTCTGGTGGTCAATTCGGACTGGCTCCCTGTTAGTTTAAGAATTGATTTTAAGATTTTATTCATCACTTTTAAAGCACGTCTGGCCCCGAGCTACATTGTTGAAATGTTAGCCCCACATGAGCCAGCTCGCAGCCTCAGCTCCTCCAGTCAAACCCTTCTGGCCGTTCCAAAGTCGAGGATTAAGTCACGTATGTATTGTGACGGCCCTCTGGCTCTGGCAGGGGCCCGTGTCTGTCTGTGTGTCTGTCTGTGTGTGTGTGTGTGTGTGTGTGTGTGCGTTTGTCCCTTCGGCCTGTCTTGCAGGTCCGTGGTAGGAGGAGCTCGTCAGCGCAACTGGGAGCATCTGGCCGACGTACTTACGGCCCCTCCGTCCCGGCCTATCGTCCCCAGCGTTGCTCGCGGGAGCTTTGTTTCTTTGTGTTGTCGGTTGTGGAACAACAAATAATGTGCCGTCTACCGCGCAGTGTATGTATATATATATTATATATGTGTACATATATTCTTTTTTTGTTTTTCTGTGCTTGTTGCTGTTGTGTTCATTGTCTCTATGGCATGGTCTCTTTTGTCTCACAATTCATGAAAGTTTTACTTGTATAAATCATGTTTGCTTCTCTGTACACCCTGTGTTTAAAGGTGCTATATGAATAAAGTTAAAGCACTTCTGCGTTGGCTTCACTCTGCAACCTGGAGGTTACAACCCGCTAGCTAAATGTCTAAACTTTTGACTCTAAAGGCTCTTTTCTAGGATTTGTACAATAAAGTTCAAAGAAATGATACTATCCAACATGTGTCACAAAGAGAGCAGCCCATTTTGAATTCCCCTTTAAAAACCTCCTGGGAGTTTGACCCTCACTCGTCAGTCCTCATCTTTCGAATTCCGAGACCTGGCTGGTGCACTCTGCAACAGATACCGTTGCACACAGGCATATTTTTGTATCGTTATAAGATACACCAGCTCACCACAAAAACATCTGCATATTTCAGGGGCAGAGGCCATTTTGAGGGCAACTGACCAAGCGGTGGGGTTTGACTGGTTGGGATTGAGACTGTATTGGGGAATCACCACCCTTGTCAACATACACCTACAGCTGGCAGAAAGTTAAGTACTTAAATTCTGACAGTTCACGGGGCAACAAATAGTACGACTGATAATCCACAACACTTTTCTACTCAAGCAAACATTCATCCCACCTGACGTGTTTTTGTGAGATGCTAGGAGGTGTGACTTTGGAGAGAGCCGGCTAGCTGTTTGCCCGTTTCCACCGATTATGGTGAGCCGAGCCTTTACGCGTCCTGTTAAACAGGACGCGTATGCAAGTGTTATGGACCCACTCATGTTACTGTCAGCAAGAAAGAAAGTAAGCACATTTACCAGAACATCATCTACAATCTGATGAGCTCATGTCTAGATGTTTTTCCTGTATCAAATCTCATTGAGTGACTGCATGACCAAGAGGAGTCCAGCAAGGGTGACGTAGTGTTGAACATTTTGGATCAGCGCTGGAAACCTCCTGGAGCAGCACAGACTTGGGATAAGTGGGCTTTTGAGACAGAATACAGGGTCTGTCTGGCAAAATCACTGAACACAATCTCTATTCTCTCTGCATCTACACCACACAGAGCCCGGAACAAAGCAGCTGTGCTACAAACGGTGTCCACCTAGCAGCTCCAAGCCATGTTCAGGTTGGCTACTGAATCATGTCAAAGCTTCAATAGATTTCAACCTGTTACAGTTTTCGTGTTTTTGTAATGTTCAAATGTTGCATTCAGAGCATTTTCCACGCAGAAAACAAAGCTGGTCTTGTGCTGTTCGTGTGCATGATCCAACATTGAAATATGTCACACCTGTGAAAAAAGTATACCTAGTGTGTTCTAATGCATTGCCAATGAAATATATCCAATGCAACTGTTATGGTTTCAGCAGCAGCCAGAACACACATCTCCCGCCTGCCATGAGACACAAAACGCGCGCCGCAGCCGTGCAAACAGGATTTTTACACTCCCAGACCAAATGAGATTATTTTTTGCCATTGAGATTATTCCAGGCAAGTCTTCACGTTTGTCTCATCTCCGCTAAAGCACTCATTGAATTCATGCACATCCAAGAAAAATGAAAAAATATGTAATATATGAAGAATTTGGAGTCAATTGCCTGGTTTCAGCTACAAGGTTTGCTTATTATTCTCATCATTCATTTCTCCACTGAACATATTTTAGTAGAAAGAAATTGTCTGCTGAGCTGTAGTTTAAAATAAAACAAGCGGCACTTTCAATCCACTTCTAAGTCGGAGACTGTAAACCCGGGCAATGGCCACCGAAGCCTGATATGTGGTTATTGTGGGCAGGGGATAGCAAACGAACACCCCACCCTCCCGCCTCTGTCATACACACCACACTTGATCTTCTTAACATCCCTCCGGGTGAAAATGAGCAAATGAACCACCAACTGGGATTTTCCTATAATATGCTCACTATTATTTTGTCTGTATTGCACAGATCTTTTTTTTCATTTTGAAAACTTGACATCCGTTGAGCCGCTGCAAAGACGTGACAGAAGCACTTTGTGTATTCTTAATTTGGATGACAAATTATCAGCTTTGTTTTATTTAAGGCTGTTTTGGGATTCTAAAGTTTCAATGGGCAGAAATAATTAAAAGATCAACATCTAACAGGTAGGCCTAGTCGAGGTAGAAGCGCAGACACTAGTAGTTAATTTCCCATGCTTCTCCTGTGTGGCTTCAAATTGCAGCAATTGGATTTTAATCTGTGTACCACTGATTAGTCATTTGGCTCCCCAGCCGCTGTGTAATTTGTTCCACAACAGAGAGCGGAACAGGCACGTGTGCACACACACACACGCATACAGTACACCCAGTTAACTGAGACACACACACTTATGCAAGCACGCAAAGACACGCACACAATCAGACGCTGGGAGAGTTGAACACTTGAGAGAGGGGGAAAGAATGAGAGATACAAAAAGGCAATACAAGAAAGACTCAGTGAAACGAAGGAGGCGAATCCGAGAGATTGGAGAGTATCTCAGCTCCATCTCGTGGTGAGCGACTGCACGGCGTGTGCTAAAGAGCCAGATTGATTGTCTACGGCAGGGAGCGTAAAGAGATCCAGAGGGGATGG